GTCTCCCCTGCCTGTCCTTCCTAAAGAGCCTGTATCCCTCCATGCCAACACTCCAATCATAGGAGCCATCCCACCACGTCTCCGTGATGCCAATAAGGTTGTAGCCCTGCAGGTGTGCGCGCGTCTCTAACTCCTCTTGTTTATTCCCCATGCTACGTGTGTTTGCATAGAGACATTTAAGTTGGGCCCCCGATGAAGCTGACTTACTGGCTGGAGTTCCTTTGTGCTGCTCTTCAGGCTCTCTCCTGCTGACCTGTGTCCCTTCTCCAGGCTCTGGGCATCTATTGCTGGCCCTGGCATCAAACTGGTAGGAGTGGGATGGATGGAGGTTCCCCTCCCCTGGCATCTCTAGTTTCAATCCCTCTTCACCAGCTTGGCAAGCCTGCGACCGAAGATGCTCTTCCCCCAGTAGACCAGTTTTCTCAAAATGAGTCCCATGGTCTAAGTAGCTGAACCCCTGGGTGTGGCATCAGTCCCGTAACCATTTGTTGACTCTCCAGATTCGACTGGCCCTTTCAAACCCCTTCCCTTCTTGAAGCAACCCTTAAGAGCTTTTCTTATGTCCCTGTGTTTATTATGCACATTATAAGAGGAGAAGCTAACTCTAAAGAGTTGCCACAGAACTGCTGACAGGGGCACAACACTTCTTGTCCCTTCCCATGACTTCCCAAAGAGTGTAGCTACTGTAGTGGACTTCTTCCCTGAAGCAATAGGAATATCTGAAGGATACTTTATGATTCTGGGTCACAGTTTCCCCCCGTATATACTCCTGAACTAATGCAACAACATTATCACACTGAAGCTTTCATGGATCTCCAAGCCAAAATGCCTCCCAGTCACCTGTAGATACCATCACTATTCCTGTAAAACACAAGTCAACACTATGTACCTTCGATGGAGGAATCTGCATTGATGTAAGCCACTCCTCGTGCTTGCAATACTTTAGCATTTTCCTATGAGAAGGAAAAGAGGAAGAAAATGCTGATGAACTTGTTTTTCCTCAGAACTATTTTCCCACCCACAGAAGTAACAGCTGTTTCAGGGAAAGACACCATATACCGCAAGGAGCCATATATTCTTGGTAGTTCAAAAGGAAACTTAAGAGTGTGTGTGTGCGTGTATAAGGAAGAGAGAGGGAGGGAGGGAAGAAGTGTTGCTTTCTAGTACAGATTTCGCAAAGATCTGCCACTGTGAAAATTGCTCTTTGAACACTATTGGTTTACCTCAGCCCACTCTGTCGATCCTAACAAGCCAAATTCCTCTGCATCCCAGCTTGCAAATATCACTGTTCTCCTTGGCCTCCATCCTGCAATAAAAGACCATGAAAACTGTATTACAGAAAGAAAGACTGCTTGTTACATAGTAACTAATGTGAAAAGAAATGTCATTTTTGGGGGGCTCATCTTTTATCCTGATCTGTGGGGAAAGAGGTGTGTTTAAGGAATTTTAACACCAACTTCTTCACTAATCTAATCTAATAATGGTTTGCTAATTTTGTAGCAATCTCAATTCTCCTTCAATATTGTGCCAAATAATGTATTCTTTTTCTTCTCGCAGCTTTAGTTGCAAGAAAATTTTCTAAAATTTAACACTCTGAACAAGGAAAAATAATGTGCTTGTGCACAAATTCTTGAAAGAAAGATTTTCTACTCTTTTTGCTCTGTTCAAGTACACATTGTATACCAGTGTCTACTTTGACAGAAAAGTGTTTGGCATGTTTTCATGTCTATTACTGAATTCCTTTGACCTGTCTCCCAAATGCCGGATTTCAAAACCTAAGGAATTCCCTGTAACTTTGACAGATCACCTTCAAAACAAAGATCTTTCACTGGAAGTTCTGCATTCGATTTAAACGCAGGCCAAATGGAACAGGCTGTATTGCCCTGCCTCTGTATCTTTGCCCAAAGTTTTCTTTGAGGCTACTGGAACCTTTTCATCTTTTGCTCCCTTTCTTTTTTACCTTTTTTTTTTCCCCCAGCTTGCATTCCAAAGACAGCTTCCCCGATATCCAGTAAATGGGAGGGAACGGACAGAAAGCTAAATGTCAATAGGTTTTAAGTGTAATGGGTAGGCGAAGAAAGCTCCTCTAGCACAGTATTTGAGTTATGTCAGAGCTTCTTTCCATGGGATGTCAGATAGGGAGATAGCATTTACTCTGACAGCAGCAGAAACTTGGTACAGTTGACATTTGTTCCTATTCTAATGTAACTAGGCATGAGATATTTTTAACCATTACCTCCTACTATGTTTGCACAGCTCATTCTCTGCATTACACAGACATGCTTTTTTTACTCTTGGGTCTGTCTCCAAACTACAGTCAGGTGCTGAGAAGGCTCTCGATGTTGCCCTGATAAAGCCTTGATCAGTCCACCACTGCATCCATTTTATAGGACCACTGAAACACCCAGTCTGACCAGCCTCAAATACACAGTAATCAACTGTACCTAAATGTCATATTTATTTCAGTATCCCCCATTCTGTGTTTTGTTTTCCTTTCGGTGTACTTTCTCTGCAGTAGAAGTACCTCACGTATACCAAGGTTGTAACTGGAATTAATTAACAGCTGCAGAACAGTATGCTTATTCAAGACATCAGAGAGATACACATGTTTAATTTTAAGCATATGCTTAAATCCCAGAGAAATCAATAGGCACTGCTGAGAGCAGTGATTTTGGGGTGCTTTGTTCTTTCATTACATTACCTTTCCTTCTCAGTTTTCCAAAGCTCCTCACAATCTCGTGAACCACAGCTGCCCCACTCTGAGGATCAATGCCACCAAATACCCATGAGTCGCGGTGGCCTCCCAGGATGACATATCTGTCTAGAAAAATTAATTATGGAGGTTTACTTAGAAAATTTTTTTTCCTGCCACAGAGCTGTTAATTGGAAGTAATATCTAATTTTCCATGCAGGTGTCAGGCAACAAAGCTTAATAGTTTATAATATACATGATAGAAAGGCAAAAGACATTTTAAGTCTCCAAAGACATTTTTCTGCATCTTCAGCCAGTGCTAAAGAATTTGTCAAACACAATAACTTGATCCCGTAAGACTTAAAACCTCCTGAATTCCATAACGTTACTTCTATTATTAGAAATACTGCAGCTTTCCTCTGAAGACAGAAGCATCTTTCCATATTTAACAATAGTATGTTTCATGGTAAAGCCGATCCACTAATTATATTTGTACAGCATGCCAACTCACAACATTAAGGTGTGCTGAATGCAGTATTTCTCTGAATACATATATAGTCAATCATAAAAAGGGTTGTCTAAATAATGAGAGAGATGTGATTAATAAGATCAAAGTCAGACTAGATCTCTGTGCTACTATAATATGGTTAACAGTTGTGTTTCAGGCAACAGGGAAGTGCTGCAGTTACAAGTTAAATGATGTTACCATCATCCTAGGGATGTCTATATATCTGGTTTTTTAGAGTGTAAAATCACACTGGTTACAAGAGACTGTAAGACAGCCAAAAAGTCAATAGTGGTGGATATGATGTCTTCAGATGGAATGCAAAATCCATTCCCGTGTTAGTAGGGAAGAATATCCACTTAAGAATATTCTTTCAATTGTAAAGTTACGTGCCTGAAGACAAATATTCCTGTCTTGGTTATGACTCACCCTTTAAAATCAGCATTTACAGTGCAAGTGCTGACATACCTTGAACCATATGAAAGCTGGTGCAATAACTATTTCAACACCAATGATCATGTAGTGCAGTATTTCAGAGAAAACTGTATTCCTCATTTCCCCTTGTAACTATGAAGTACGTGTAGAGGTCACTGCACGCTCACATTACACTGAAGACAAATGACTTTACCTGGTTCCACTGTGCCTCTGATGGTACCAATCACATTGTAAATCCTTGTTATTTCGTTGTGGCTATGAATGTGCATTTTCACCTTTCTAGTGTATCAGGAAGAAAATCCAAAGAGAAAATCCATCAGATTAGATAATAAAACATCTTGACACCTTTCAAAAGTGTACAGTATAAATTGTAAGGAAAGCATTTTGGCCAAATTTACCCTCCATTAAACCAAAGTAAACCTGAAAAGACGTCAGTGTAGTTTTTTCTGATTTATACTTGTGCAACTGAGAACAGCATTTAGCCGTTGAAAGCTATGGACTGTTATTGATGTCAGTAAGATTTATATGGGTAACAGGCTCAGAACTCCAAATTCAAAGATTTTTTGCTAGTAGCTAGTTTTTAAATCTGGAAAAGTGAAAGAAAAATGAAAACCATCTAATGTTAAAAAGGTAAATAGTTCTAATCATCTAGAGGTTGGTGTAAATCAGAAATTACTCCAGCACAGTCAATACTGATGTGGCAGATCAGGCAGCAGAAAATCAGATAACTTGAGTTGCATCAAAAGACTTTGTTTATCTACAACACAGCTGGAGGTGCAACAACTCATCCCCAAGGGTTGCCTGTATATTTTTCAGAAAGAATTTTTCATGTAGTATGGCTAAGACATAGGGAAAAGGTCAAATGGTTCATATGAAGTCAGTACAATAGCTCAGCCAATATTGAAACACCTGGACTTTAGTCCTAAACTGTAATTACTAAATCATGTTAAAAACAATCTGAAGCAATAAAAATGACATTGTAGTTAAAGCTTTTTTTCTGGAAAATTTGACTTGTAGGTTAATATTGTTTTATATGAGGCAATAGGTAAGACCAGAACCTGGACCCACATGAATTTAAAAAAGACAACACAGAAATTCAATTCTCAAAAATAATCGGTCTCATCAAATAGTTTGTGAAAGGCTAGATGCTTTTCAAAGGAAACTGCTTCAAGACTAACTGGAAACTAAAGCAATTCAGTCATATCCATCCAATCAAGATATAAATCTACTGGAGCTTTGCACTGAGCGCATTTCAGCCCAGGAAATGGTCATAATCAAAGAAATGATGCAAATAATCCCAACTACTCTACTTTTGGTGAAATTCTATTGTTCTACCTGTTTTTCTCTGATCCCAAGCACGCTTTCCTTAAGAAACAAAACTGACCTTGTAGAATAATTTGTTGTGAAACCAGGACCAACGTTGTAAGACACATTCAAATTTCCTTTCCAGCTGCTATGTGGTGGTGCATATCCTCCCATATTACTATTATGAAAAAAAAATTATCATTATTAGTTACAGACATCTTACAATAGCACCAAACACAAATGAGGAACCAGGAACCACACTTTGTTAGGTCCCATGTACACACAGACCACAGTGATGGTCTTTGTCTCAGACAATTTATACTACAAGCTTCCACAGGAGAATAATCTTTTTAGCTACATTAATACTAATAAATTATCACAGAGAAATAGTCCTGGGCATTGAGATCAGCTTGGAATGGCCTACAGCTATCCTGGAAAAGTGTTGGCCTCCAAAGGTTTTGCATACAAACTGCCTCTTGTAAATGGCCCCTGGAACTTTTCTACTGCCTTGAACTGCATTTGCTTTTAAATCAGAAGAGAGTAACTTGGACCATTCTAACAGTTTAACAGAATAGGCAGTTGTCTTCCAGTGCCTGTCCCTGGACTCTGTTTAATCTGGTAGCATAGACAGAGTTGATGTGTTTCAAAGACGTCTAAAATTGGAGAAATAAGATCAGTCCAAGTCACCTTTTCTTGTTCCATTGTCAAAGGTGAGATGTTTTTTCTCAGTTAACATAACTGGAAATGCAGTAATTCAGTGGATCCCAATTGCCCATACTTATTCACCTATTCTAAAGGATTTATATTTTTGACATAAACTTGTGAGAAACATAAAAAAAATATTAAAAAATATGCTGGGTGTTCTGGTTCTTATTAGGGAAAATATATTTATTGTAAATGAAAGCACACCCTTTACTGTAAAAGCATACTTCAGTCAAGTTGTATTCCACAGAACACTTCAGCACGTCTTCAAGTCCTCGGTATATTTTCTATATAAAAATATGATAGCAGGAATAACTAGAAGTTATGACTTCTCAAGACAAAAGTGAAAACAAGGACCCAGTATTTTTAGAGGATTTAAATTTCATTCATAATTATTAAAAATCAAGTTCTAGAATTATTTACAACTTACTGAAGAGAAATATCTAGCTACATCATATTTATCCATATCAATCTGCTCTACCACTACTAGTTGGCAGTGGAAAAAAGAGGTTTTTTAACCTATACCTTTATCATTATGAGCAGTTATCTTCATAACAGTGATGGCCGTAAAGTTTTAAAGAAAAGACAGTTTGGAGATATATTAGTCCATAAAAGTTTGGGAGGAAATAGGAAAAACACTAGAACAGTGATAATGAACATCAGGTATGCAAAGACACCAAAGACAGTAAAATTCTGCCTCATATAAAAATAAATAGCTTCAATACTTCCGAGGAAAACCTGCAGCGAGAACCAAGATAGAATTTTTTTTTTTTGGACTCAGTATTCAGAGGCATCAGACAGAACAGAATGATTGCTCATGTGATTTAGATGTAAAATTCCTATATAAATACACACCCAAGATTATGTTCTCTTATTGCCCTAAACACTTATCCGTGGTACTGTGGCCAACCCTGGTATTTCCTGCCCTGTATCTCTACAGTTGATACAAGTGATTACTGCTACATTTTTAGGGAAATGATACACTTGCCAACTCAATCCCATCTTAGTTTTTTCAGGGAACTTATTTGGTTTAAGATAATTATGAATTTTAATGCTGTCCTCTGGCAAGCTGGTAGCCTGTCTTCATGTCACTTGCATGTTTAGTAAGCACACTTACTTACACCTAGATGTCTATTAAATCCCCTATAATGCTCCAGTTTCCCCAGTGTCCTTATATTAGTTCGCTAGCATCATTTCATATTTATGCAACGTAACACACCTGATGAGAGAAAGCACACGCCTTCATTTAACAGAGGACAGTACAGATACTGTCCCATCAAACATGCATGGCAAGTATTTCTCGGGACAAATGAATGACTTCATTTGTGGTCTTTTTCACAAGACAGGTATCATGCCATCCTCAGAAATTTTTGCCTTTATTCAAACTGAGATGCACTTTATACCTTCAGTATACTTGACTGATCATGATATACTACAAATGACCCTTTCCAGATCACTCTTCACGCATCTGATATGTAGTAATAGATAACATGTTTACCTCCTACAGAGAACCTCATGACAAACATACACTATTTCAAAAGCTACAGTAGAAGCACAGTGCAAAACTCTTTTCTCTTTCTTTTCAAATACTCTCATAACTTTCAGAAAACAGTCTGCTTAAAATTCCTCATGTCTCCCATACACTCACCGCAGTAGTGACTCAGCATCATGATAGCCAATGGGATGAACTGGAATTTTTGGGAGACCTACACCACTGGCTTTGTCTAATCGGTAGGTGTATTCTGAAAGCAAAAGACAGATATTTTCATATTTACAACTCTCAGAAGGAATTTTTACAGTTCATAGCACAGTCCTAACACTGGAGCCAGGGATGATCATTTCACTTTCCTCTAAGTTGGGCTGACATTTCTTCAGTGACTTCATTCTTTATGCTTTATCAACATCTTTTCAGAGAGACAACAACAAAGATTCTCCCATAGTCTCTGCAGTCATGCATTTAGAGATGGCTGGAAATTTTAAAATTGTTTGCTCATTTTTTGCATTTAAATGCTTTTAGGTAGAAATATTTCTCTCCATGGGAAGGAACTTCAGACTAAGCCACAGAGGAAGAACAAGAGCAAAGAGGGATCCTGTAGTTTGATGCTTGGAACATTCAGCTGGGAACTAAAAAATTTTGCCAGTTGATAAGAGATGCAGATAAAATCTTATACACTGGGCTACTGAATATTCTGGTTTGCTGTTTCTGTGAACAAAATGAAGTCTAGGTTTTGTTCTGACAGAGCTCAGATACAAATAATGTTTTTTTTACAAATGAGAATCTTAATTTTCACAATGTGGACAAAATTTGATGTTTGCAAGCCAGCAGGTATGGAAAATAATAGTTTCCTCCTTAATACAACATTCACAGGGACCTTTGTTGAGGGAAGCAGACAGTGATTCATCTATGAGATCACTGACTCTAGCATGAGGAACCAGAAATCTTCCTCATAGTCTGCTCCTGCCATGCTGTCGTTGTCAACATGTATCCTCTTCCAGCTCAAGTTGTCCTGGCTAGGGGCAACTTTCCCCATCACTTAGGGACTGCTCTTCTTGAGGTGACTGCCTCCCTCAGATATATATGTTGGCTCAAGTGCTGGCATGAATGGTTCTTAATGCGTTTCAGTCAAAATGGGTTAGGTGCTAAATGAAACAGCTTAGGCAGAGCTCAAATAAGCAGCTGAGGAAGCATGAGGTGAAGGTGATGAACCAGTGGGGAATGGTCATCTTCTCAGGAGCCTCGGCTGCAGCCAGGTGACATGAGTCCCAGCATGCAAGATCTCAGCATTGCCAGTAGGGGCTCTTGTGGAGGGAAGGCAGCCCAAATCCAGCAGAAAGAACTGCAAAAGCAAGGAAACCTGTGAGCTGTGCAGGCTGGCTCCTTGCTGACTTACTGATAAGAAGCAGAAAGAAAATACTAGGGCTTCAGCTGTCAAATACTCGTCTCATGATCTCTGGGCTAACTTGGGTATGTCTGTGAAGTTAAGTAGCCCAGCACTGCACTGTGTGGCTGCCTTAACAATCCCTCACTTTCTCTCATGCACCATTTGCAGAAGTAGCCTACTGATGTGAAGCCCAAAGCTGCCTCTTTTGAGCAACAGAAAGACCAAGAAAAAATGTATTTTGTTCCAAGGAAAAGAACATCCCCATTACCTTCCCCCCTCTTCCTGAAACCCTACCCTCAGAGCATGACTTCTCTAGTGTCACTCACCTTTTGCAGGATAACCTGGTGTCAGAGGATCCCCTGCCCCATTCAGGTTTAATACATTTCCACGCTGGGCTCCTCCACCTGGAAGGTTCCAGCCATTTGGATATGGATCTGTTCCCAAGGCGCAGTAGTCAGCAGGGTCAGAGTACAGAATAACTCCCTTCGCACCTGCCAATTCAGCATTCTTCACCTGCAAAGCACATCTCCAGTCCCTATCCAGTCCTTTATAGCTTGACACAAGAGTTCAAGGGGCAAAAGAAAGTATTGTAAATTACAGTGATTATTCCTCAGAGCCTTTTACAGTGCTTGGGCTAAGTAAAAGGCCCATAACTGTCTCATATCATAAAATTTCCTGAAAGTATATATGCAGATATCAGGTCCCATACAAAAGTAAGAGGTTTGCTGTTGCTTTCAATTTTAGTTAGGAGATAGCGGCAGTAACATGGAAAACATCCTTCACAGTATTACTACATAACCTGAATTTGTATTCTGTCATCCAGATCCACACGATCAACTGACTATTGGAATGTACACATCATGGATGGAAAAAACTGCATCACCTTGATGCAACCTTATCTTTCAGTTAGCCATGTACTTACCTTATTTACGTAAATGATCTCCTAACATATCTCAGAGTTCAGACTACACAGAAAGATTATTATTGGAGAGCTTGAAACTGTCTTTGGCTGTGAACAAGACTAACTCCAAAGAGTGTGCATCTTAGGCTTATTACGGCAAAAGGACTGACCTGCATGCTGTTTTGATTTAAAAAAACCTGTTCTCATGCAACTTTATTATTGTATAATCCTGGTTGGTGAAGAGTGAGAAAGAGAAAATATATGTCATTCTGACATCCCAATCTGTTTTGCCACTAGATAAGACAGTGATGTATAGTGACTGAGTGACAACTAATCCTCGACAGTTTTAAATTTGGGTATTTTAATTCAGAAATACCATAGCTTTTTTTAGGAAATACAGTACTTGCCTTCATCGTCTATCCTATTCTCGCACACCATTAGGAAGTTGGAAAATCACAGTACAGTTCTCCAGATTTTATACAGGCTAATAAATTCTTCAGTATATAAACAGTCATTAGAAATACTACCGTAAGAATGAATATATCATCTCTTTGTGTCAATGAGGGCATGTAATTTCCAAATCACAGGACAACTGCCTGTCTAAATATTAGTAACTCTGAAGTGTTTGTATTTAATTTTAATAAAAGATTCATAGACAGCAATACCTTCTTCAATTTTTAAGTCTTTTCCATTCAGATAGTATCTCTAAGAGTGGTAAACAATTTAGTGAAAATATTATCTGACCCAGAATATGAGTTACATGTCTCTTTTCACTGGTGAAAATGGTATGTATGTAAACCAGTGAGTTAACCACTTAAAAGCTCACAGAAGATTAGTCAACAGCATATAATAAGAGTTGGCATTCCAGTGAGGAGAGTCAGTGTTTGATACTCTTAGGTAACTGAGAAATACAAACTATAGTCCTGCCCAAATTAAGGTCAAACTAATTTTTGTACACGAGCCAAACACACTTAAAACAGACTGTCTTCTTACATCCCTACTGAGGAAATAACTTGAGTATACACCTGAAGTATGCACATGATTATGTACTTTCTTGTCAGGCCATTGAAATCTGCAGAAATTTGTAGTTTAAAAATATTTATATGATAGGGACATTGAATAAACAAATAAAAATTTTAAAATAACCTCCATACAGTTATAGTCTCCGCCTGGCGTACAGAAACCATTATAAAGAAACACAATGTAGGCATCTTAAAGCACAGTTGAACCAATAGGGAAGAACAGTCTAGTTCAGAGTTAGAGTGCATTACCCAAGAATGTTAGTAATATTTTGGAACCATTTATAGTATGCAAATGAATATAAAAATACATAACATTGTCCAACTTATTTACTTTTATCCTATAGATGTATTATATATATTAAATATATATTTTATATCTTCTACTAAAGAATCGTCTTTGAACACAGCTCTATGAAAAACTCAGTTACGCTAAAATTTCCAGAACACTTTAGGTAAGTATTTCAGTCTCTTGAAATCAACTGAAGGACAGCACAAGTAACATTTTTTTATAGAGGCATTACCTTATATCCTCTGAAGATCTTCCCATATCTGGCAATAACAATCTTTCCTGTACAGTTAATTCCCATTTCACGTTCTAGCTTAAAAAAGTCCTCGGTGCGGCCATAATTCACATACACTAACTCACCCTGATAGAAAGAGGTAGAATTTGAAACAAGAATGTCAATGAGCATGTCAAAAGGAGGATGTGATCTAGTAAGAGAATAAGCTGGGAACAATGAGCTCCGGGACTGGCTCTGGTATGAATTCTTCTTTGATCATGACACAATTAGGTAGGCAAGTGACTGCTAATGAATTTAGACTCCTACCATCCAAAGCTGCCAGGCTTTGTCCTCAATGGAGAATGTTGATATGATTTGTGAATCAGAAACTTAGAGTAAGTGTTCAGAGTACGGCATTTACTTCTCTTCGTAGTCTGTTTAAGCTGTAAGTCAGTCTTGGACAGTTGGAGGTATTTTGGACCCAGACACCACAGTAAATATCAATCGTATTTTATGCAGTAGAGTAGACTGAGTGATGCCAATATCCTATGAAATTCTCAGGACTCAATTCTTATTCAATGCAGCAGAAGCTACAGGTGGTTGTCTGTCAAAATAAATACACCTTGCACATGAATAAAGTATTCTTCATGATTGTGTTTCAACCATGTTATTCAATAGCTGGTGCGTGATTCATCTTCCTTAATGCCTGCTACCTAAAAGTTGTGTGCACTGTCTAAGAAGGTCCTACAGTGCACTCCATAGCCAGTGAAGAGCTGGGAAGTTCTCTGAGAACTCACCCTTTCTAGGAGAATTCACCCCACACCTGTTTTAAACAGCTATTTTAGGAAGGAATAAATTGCCCTCTGGATATACCTTTCTTTGATTATACCTCAAAGACTGTTTTAGAGTAAATGCCTATAAAAAGCCTCAAAGACTGGTTTAGGGAAGATGCCTACAATTTCAGACAACTAAAATTTGATGACAGGAACCTCTTCTTTAGTCCATTTCTCCATATTACCAGACATCTCCAGAGAGATCTTCAATTCAATTTCAAAAAGGTATAAGCTTAAATCTCTTATACTGATGAAAATCGCTGACATTCAGGTGGTCTCATGTAACAGCATACAGCATGTCCTGATAAGACTGTGGTACAGTCATTTTGACTGTACTGGTTCATCAGTAATCTGCTCAAGTTGCAATTTCTTCTTAAATTAAGCAAAATTATCTCAGTTAGGATAAATTAATGAAATAAGGGGGACTGTATTTAAATAAGGCAAACAGTTTCATACCTAGTAAGATTCTGGTCCTCTCTGTTCAGAGGATAATTCATAATCACAAGGATTAATCTTGGAGAGGCTTTTCTGAATTTATGGAGTAGTTTTGCCCCTCAGTAAAATCAAGTGTAACTCTACCGAAGTCAAGACAGTTCTTCCAGTCTATTTAGATTAAGCAAAAGGGGAATTTGGTCCTCCATTTTAACATAATTTCTTTAGAATATCTTGTACAGAATACCTACATTTGTAGGCTATTTTATTTTTTATGACAAATACAAAAATGTTGATTTCAATAGTTTGGCTTACATAATTGCAGAGCTGTAATTATAACAATTATATATTCTCACATTCAGGGCCCTTGTTCTACAATGAAGCGCAAAACAAGTTAACATGAGAGTAACATTTTATGGTGAAAACCTGTAAACACTTTACAGGGTTTTTTTAAATAATGCCTTTGATTAAGTAGATGCCATCACATAAAGAAAAGAACAGTTCTGATCTTTAGAAGAAGCTCTCATAACTATATCTGATATAAAGTATATAATCCGCATTCATAGCATTTTTCCTGGTATTGCAGAATAATTCATATTTATTCAATATCTAGATTTCTTATACTACTTTAAAAGGTACTTATTTGAAGATTCTGGCAATATTCGATATATGGCATAGTAAATAAGGCTTCCTTAATTAAATTCTTTTAGCATCTCTGAAAATTCTTCATCTTTAACTTTCATTAACAGGACTAGGAACTACATCGATGCAATAAATTTCTCATCAGAGCATTGTGACAGTTATGTATCATCATTTCCTAGTGATGTGATGAAATCCCTCATGTTTATAGAACTATTACAAAATACAAGCTTTGAGAATGTAGCGTGGACTCATAAAATGTCTTGTCTGGGCTCTTTTAGCATAGTCAAGATCTCAAGCACACCTCTTACTTGTGACCATCATGAACTAGATGGGAGTACTTCTGCAGTCACTTAAAAAGGAAAGGAAGAGCAGAATTTTACCATTATTTATGATGCTAATGTTCCAAACTACTACTACTGTCTGATAGAATGTGACTTCGCTTCTTTGTCTGCTTTCTGCTAAGTATTTCTGTTAAAAGAAGTTTCTGCTTAAAGCTTAACTTTTTTCATCTGACTGTTTATTGAAATTTAGTTAAAATACACCACACAGAAGAAACATACATTTTCTAGCAATCCGTATGAAAGACCAGGATATATTCCATCTTCCATCTACTGAGAACCAGAAATGAGTGGGAACTACTTCTAAATCTCTGCAGGGTGTCACTCTAGCAGGCAAGTAGCTACTATCCCACTCTGATAGTATTTAACCTTCAAAACACAGACACTGCCACTTATTTTTAAAAAGCAGCTGCAGGAAAAAGTAATAGTACTAGCAGTGCCGAACTGTATTTCCACAACTCCCTGATCAGCACGCTCACCCAGAAAATGTGAGAGCTGCGTTCTTGGCCTCTCTCAGTATGAAGAACTTTGATCCATTTCTCCCACTTTCCAGGAAGGTGGCCTACTTGTGAAACTACAGTTAGCCTGGGATGCAGGTACTTCACAGCCTTCTCCCTTCATTGAACTTGGAGCTTTATGCAGGAATCGTTCACAAAATTAATGAGCAGAAAGAGAACCTTTGACTGATCGTTGCACTTGGCAAGTTCCAAATCTCTCTCTCCACAGCTTAGTTCTGGTTTTTAATAGAATGGCTTTTAACATAAAATACATAAACAGGCCTGGGAGAACTCAGAAGAGACCTGAACCCACTGAGTATTCCCACTCCTGAGCTATATACACGCTCCCTGTTTGCTGTACAGGTGCAGACAACTGCTCACTGGAGAATGTTATTGCTAACAGCACTAGCTAGGTACCTGAGCTTTTGTCAAAGTATAGTATATATATCTTATATATATATCTTATATATATACATATATATATAGTATATATATCTTATATAATAAGATGAACATAAGTATTGTATTTTGAAAAGACAATCTGTCTTTTATTTATTGCTTTTTTCAGAAACGATGTTCTTATGTTTAATTAAAGTAAAATCATTTTCTAAAGAAGGAAGCTGCAGCTTTTAAAACTTATTTTTATTATTTCCCATATCCCATCACTTACTGTAGCTCTCCAGAAACCAAATAAAGCAGTGAAGTTATTCTGTCTTTCTTTGGGGATATTACATTATGATACAAAGTCAGAATCCATGAATTTCTCCTTATATTGTGTTCCAAAATTCCCACTGCAATTCTTGAAACACTCAAAGCTGTCATATCCTAGGGTACAGACTATCTGCCTGGTTCTCCAGCTTCCTTTGAGTATCTGAGGCAAATGAATACAGGATACCTTTTGTTTTCTAAACTTGCACAGCTTATTAACAAACTTCAGAAAGTACATGACTCTAATATTGGGCTGTGTGAGTAAAAGCATTGTTAGCAGGTTTCAAAGTCAGATCCAACTTTAAAGCAGAGATTGGACCACATGACCTCCAGAGGGCCCTGCCAACCTACATTACTCTATGTACAGACAGGAAAGATACTGAGAACAACAAAAAAAATTTATAGTCTTACAAAATATTAATTGAAACCACTACTGATCATAGGATAGAAAACTCCTGTTACACAGGCCAGCTTTATAAAAGAAAGCCCGTCAGCTGGTACCATCTGTACAAGATAGAAAGGATTAGTGTTAAGCTCAGATCACAGCAACATTTTTACCACCAGCTAGAAATGCTAGCAAAAGCCATTTTCAAGCATACTGTACACTGTGCAGTTATACCTGTCAGTGTGAGCCTTGGGCAAGTGGCATTTTGAAAATTAGGTTGTTCATTTGGCTACGTAAATATAACAGTCTTATTTGTTCACCAAGATGGGAAACAATGGTGCAATAGTCACAGAAATATCTGGAGAAGCTTATAGCAGCTGACAACATTAAAGATTTATTACCATATTTTTTAAGGAAAAGGTAGAAATAAAATCCTGTTCTGACTCAAACTAGAGAAAAAAATTAAACATATATGTATGACTGCTCAAGTTGAACATTGCTCCATCGCAGAACTCCCAAGAACATCAGAGCTAGGACATCTTTCCTACTGGTGACATGTCAGGTTTTGAACTAAAGCCTAAGACCCAGGAATTTCACATTATTCTATATCGCTCTGTGCTATTCTGTGCTATGCTACAGTACACTACACTGTGGTATTCCATCTTTTCTATTTCTATTATTTCTATTTCTGTCTCTATTTCTATTTCTACTTCTGTTCCTACTCCTATTTCTGTTTCCGTTTCTACTTCTATTTCTTTTACTCTTCTACTATGTTACCTCAGGCATTCCTTGGGCTGAAAACGCATTGTAGGGTGGCACCACATCTCTAACAGCCTCATATCCTGGAGGAGGAGGCTCAGATAATGATGTGTTGAAAATCTAGTGGGAAAGAAGAAAAGAAAAAAAGTAAACCAGGCAATATGGAAAAGAAGTACTGTCTATTCAGGCACATTTCACATGCATTTGCAATTTAAAGGACTCTAGTTTTAGAACTCTAAATGAGGAGTGGCCAAAACTTTAGCAAGCACTGGGCATCCCTTTCAGTATGCAGGTTCAATGCGTGATCTTGCAAATCCCATCTCCGCTCCTCACACAGAATCCTGCTTAAATGAACACAGGGTCCCTTAAGGTGGTCTCAGTACAGCACATAAGAGGAAGGTAGATCATAACGGTAAAAAATCTTTGCATTCTGCTCATCCCTGGAGCTTCTACAAGCACTAGAGCTGCTCCATAAAAAACTGATGTTACCTGCGATAGTACATCTCGAGGCCTAAACTCTAGTCTTCAAGAAACTGAATTTAGCACACTTACCAACACTGTATAATGAAGCAATGCAAATAATGATGCTGACCATGGCTGCTTTACTCGTTCTAAATAACAGAACAATTTTTAAACAATTGAATTACATAAAGTAATTCTCTTACATAATTCTCCTTTAATCCATATATGTCAGTATGCTATATGAATCAGGGTAATTATTAGTATTCCTAGCACATACATTAAGAAACAAAGATACAACATGCAAAAGCAAACTGGAACCCCTCATTTCTGTGAGCTTTGGATCAGGCCCAACACTATTAACAGAGCAGAGGCTAGCTTTCCCTCCCAATCTTCCCAAGTGTATGAAGGTGATTTTGTTCCCTGGTTGCAAAAACTGGTGTTTTCTGTACCTCATTTCCATGCTCATCAATTATTGAGATGTAGTTGGGCTTAGTGTCATCAGGGTAAGAGAGCAAGACATCATAATGAACCAACTGAACAGAATCCAAACCAAACTCCTTCCATTCAGCTTGGACTTGCTGTGCCAGATGCAGATTCTCCTTTGTTCCTGCTAGGTGAGGAAGCCGTGTAAAATTGCTAGAGAAAAAGAAGCAATGAGTCAGGATCAGGCATTGCAGCTCATAATCAGAACTCCTCTTAGCCTAGCTGGAAATAAACTCCCTAGAGATGACCAGATGTACCCAGGCTATATAAGGACCCAGATTCCTCTGCATCTATGTTTTTGCCTATCTTATACATAAGTTAAGGTAAAGGGTTTCAGTTTGTCCTGAGTTATCACAGGTGTTTGCATCTTCCTTGCAGTGTGGCTTAGCAAGAATGGCATGATGACATCAACCGTGGGGTCTTGTCCTTGCTTTACTCCTTGTCTTCTGGGTGACCTTAGGCCAATCACTCCTCTGCATAATGACACTGACCTTCCTTGTGAAGTGATAAAAGATTTTAGTATAATTATCTTTGCATATTCAATTTAGAAATGTGCATAATTACTCTGATCCCAACTTTTAATTAACTAGATATTCTCCTTGGATCCCACTATTTTAATTAATTTTTGCATGAATACTGATTTATCTAGAAGTTCACTCTGAGTGTGTCTTGTTGGCAAATAAGAGGGAATGAGTTCACAGTGGCTTACAAACAAGGAACAGAAAAATTCAACAGCTTGTAACTTAAAAATCCTGCAGTGTGAATAATAAACAGTGAAACATACCATAAATAGTGAGCAACCCATTGTCTGAAAAAAAAAATGTCCAGACCATTGAGAAAGCCCAGTGGTGAAGTGAGCTGAAGAAACTCCCAGCTGAATGAGGTTGTCATCATGATGTCCTCATCCTGTCATACAACCATGCCATCAACACACCACAGAAGCATGTGTCACACCAACTGGTGTTAATGAAGGAAACTTCAATAAGGAAGGGGTGTAAGTTTGGGAAAAATTTTAATTCTTGAGTTCGAGTGAGAACAAAGCCATCAAACAAAGCACTTTGAAAGAACTATATACTTAGAATAGAATAGAATAGAATAGAATTTAAAGCATGATTGAGAGCATTGTCCAAATGCCTCTTAAGCACTGACAGGCTTGGGGCATCGACCACCTCTCTAGGAAGCCTGTT